TAAGTGGGGATTCCTCTACAGGATTATATTGAAATCAATCTCAATTCAGACTTTTTGTGTTTTATGTTTATTACTTGATCTGTCTTAATTGCATTCTTTATTTTGGTAAATAACTTTAAAACACATACTTGATTACACGGGTACGAGTCTTCCAAGAGCCACACACGTTATAAAAATAACCTGTATTCTTTATACATTATTTTATTCATTCTTTTCATGTGGAGAAGAATTAACTCCTAGATAGCTTTTCCAAACATCTTTGCATTATAAACAAAAGTCCTATTCCATTAGAAGAAAAAGCATAGCTACATATATGTAACTGAAATATCTTGAAACTCATTAATGTGCTATATTAATTGTCATGACTGTGGAACTTCAAGCATTGTCTACACATATATTTTGCACAAAAAAGTTTTTATAAGACTTCTTACAGAATAAATGAATGTTCCACGTAAGAAAAATTGAAGCAGATTCTCAATATTTGTATTTTAGAAAATCAATAAAAGACTACAAACTTGTTGAATATCCTAAAAAAATTTAATATTCAATGTAATGAGAACAATTTATCAGTTTTACACTCTCACTGCTAAGATGGGATGTTTTAGTCAATTTTTTATTTTGGATTAAAAGAGAAGTAAATTAGAAGCTTAAAATGCTTTGAATACTTTTTAAAGGAAATCTATGAATTTTAGAACTAAAATTTCATATTAATTGTCAATGATCTTGAATAAAAATAAACTCCTAAAATTAGATTTATAAGGCATAAACTTCATGGCATATGAATTATCTTACATTTCTATTGAAACATTGATAAAATTTTGGTCTAATTTAATTGTATTGCATATCTTCTGGTGTAGTCACATGAAGCTTCTGAAGATCCAAAGTTTATCTTTGGATCCATTTATTCTAACATTAGGTTTTGCAAAGTCCTCATAAAAGAAATGCAAATATGACTTTACAAAAACGAATTGATGACATTTTTTTTAAAAGTTCCATTTTCAAATCCAATCTAATGTCTAAATATCTCTGTCACCGGCTCTTAGATATAATTACACTGAGATATTTTCCACACATGTAAACCAGAGTGGAAAATCTGCAACTTGCTCCAGTGACCAAAAATGCAAAAAAAAATTTTGAGGTAAATAAACATATTATTATACACAGAATATTTGCAGTATGTTCACCTGTGCAAATACAACATTTTTTGCTTAAATAATTTTAAAAACTCTCACAGGACTAGAGAAATATTACATATGTCCAGTAGGTGTATATTCCTACTTTCATACTTCAAAATTATGGGCTCAAATTATTTAATATTTAATAAATTTAATTCCAGATTAAATTACAGATTATTATTCCAATAAGTTTTCTTTACTGCTCACATTTAATAAGATATAAAGTATAAATGAATAAAAACAAAGCCATCACAAGATAATTCATTTTAATAGTTGCATGCATGAAGTTAGAGAAGGAAAAATGAAGATTCTTAAATACGAAAAGAATGAGGAAAATACAAAGAAGTTTAATTACCAAATAGCTGCGATAATGATATTTCCAAAAACTGTTATAAACAGTTAGTTCCTTTCTACTGTTTTGGTAGAATAGCACTTGAGAGAAATCATTTTCCAGAAAGTTTTCCTTCTCTGTAGATCACAACCCTGGCAAGACATGTCCATACTTTTTTCCTCAAGTGGGTAAATGTTAAGAGAGAGGAATCCAAGTTTCATGATGCAGCAACACAAAGCTGGGAAGTGAAAATTATGTTGCAGCGGAGTCTTGAAAATATGACTGTAAAAGTTAATCAATAAAATGTCTATTGCTGTCTATTCACCGGAGGCCCCAGCTGCATAGCTTCACTGAATCGATACTACAAATTATTACGATTTCCAGGTTCCCCCTGGACTTTCAGAACAAATCTTTCAAGTGTAACAGGCTTATACTGAGTATATGGTGTGTGTTCTCTACATTCAGTTCAAAAGGAGGGGAAAAATAAAATCTAAATCCTATGTGTTCTTTAAAAGTTCAGCTTTATGGAACCAATAACTTACAGGTTACATGTTAATGTTAAAACAATCTTCCTTTTGATTGCCAAATTCTTTGCATGCTTCTTTTTAACCGTTTCATATTTAGTTAAGAAAAGATTTAACCTAATAAGAGATTTTGGGGGTATAGGAACCTGGCTAGTTCTGATGATTGTTCCAAAGTAAGTGAACGAAGGAAATCATTTTGAGATAATTACTTATCAAGAAGTCACTTGAAGACATTATCACTATTAGAAAGATAAGTGTAGGACACTGATGTCTATTTCAAATTGCAGCAGGTCCCTTAAGATCTACATTCAAGTTATTGTTTTTATGACTTATTTCAACACATTTTGAAAATCATGTTTTAGGTTTTCCATTTTTTTCAATTTTTGTAAAATAAATAAAATCATGATTTCAGCAGTGAGTTTCTCCTCTTTGGGAAAAGGTTCCAGAATATATTGTTCTGGTGAGATCCTCTGCCCCCTGCATCGAAGTCTACTGTGATGGCAAACTCTAGAAATTACTCAAGTCTTTGACCTTCAGGCTATGCTCCATGCATTTCACCTAGCACCACTCAGTCAAAATCCAAACGCTGTTCCAAATAAAGGGATAATTGGTTAAAGAAACTAACTATAATGCTTTCATGCCTTGTGACACCTGATGTGGCTTTTCTTTCTTCTGCCTGGTGAACATCATGGTGTCTGGCACTGTCCAATACCGAATCAATTGGCATATTTGATCAATTCAGGCCACCTGTCGATTGGGTGAGGAAAAAATAAAAATAAGTGAAGTGAATTTTTTGTTTGCTAAGCCAAAAGGCTTTGATTTTATTTCACACTTAAATAGTAGTATATTTTTTCGTGTTAAGATACATGTATCTAACATGTAGGTATATCTTGTGACAATGTATGTTGAGGCTATATTTTAAAAGAAAAGTGAACTGATTTCTCCTAGGAAATCATCATTATTTTGATTATGAACATGTATCAGTCTCTTTGATAATCAACCACAGTTCCTTATAACATGTCATAATAATATTTATAATTTTTTGACTTTTAAGATATTTAATTGCTAGAGACTGTAATAAACAGACTAAAAAAATACTGTTACAGTTTTAACTACTCTCTTAGATGACATTTGTGTGCTTGCCAGCAATTTTGCATTAAGAGAGGATATTCTACTTAATTTCATCATCAAGCTCTATTTGAAAATAAAATAGATAAAAATAGATCAAGTATCTAGAACTTAGGTTTGATCTATCATTGTAATTTAACTAGATGAATCACTGTCTGCTTTGTTTACTTATAAAATTCAAGGTTAGAAGTAAATCTTTGCATGGCAGTTTTCAGATCAAAAATGATTTTTTTGCAGATGTACTGAATAATGTGCCTTTATAGTGATGTTTAACTGCAGAAAAAAATGTTGGCACCATTTTAATAACATTAAGTTAATATCAAACACTATCATTAGCTTTATATTAGTGTTCACAACTGTTTTTATGTATTTCTTGTTCTCTAAATATATCTTAAGTGCATTATTTCCATAATACAGCTTTTTAAAAGACCATAACATTTATAACAATGGTACATTACTGTAGCCATTCCCGAAGAAACTTTGCCCAATATGCTTTTAATCCTTGGTACCAATTTCTACCTTGTGATATTTGTTAAATGTGGCTTTTTTGTTATTTGAGTGCTGGCATCTAACTAAAGGGATATTAATGGCAAATGGGGTTTATCTGAGTGTTTAATCTTATTTAGAAGCACATAAAATTTCATCCTAGATTGCATAATTATTTTAAAGCCTTTTAATATTAAACCACTGGATTAAAACACAGGTATAAACTACTCATGAATAAAGTTTTAAAATTTTACTTTTATATTTTAACATTATTAAGTAGCTTTATAAACTATAATTTCAAGAAGAATTTTAACGTTCATCATATGTAATATTTTAAAATCCTATTGATAGATATATCAAGATATGTAGTAAGTAATATAAATGTAGAATTTGGCTTCCAAAGATCAGTTAATATCAAATGCACATTTTAGTTTTGGCCTCAGGACTGTGTTCAAAGGTATGAGTGACAGGGGAATAAAAAAGTTTAGATGTGTGAGCTTTATTTAACTTTGGTTACCCAATTGAACCAAAGCTTGGGGAGTAAAGTGTAATTCTTGACAAATACAGAGAGAGAGAGAGAGAGAGAGAGAGATTCATCTGAGCTATGATCCTTTCATAATTATTTTTTTAAACAGACTAAAAAAATCAAGCAAAAAGAAGAGAGAATAGAGTACTTATCAGAAAGCTCAAAAAAGTAACTAACATTTATTTTAAAAGTAAATGATGAAATCTAAAAACATTGTATTAGGTATAATCATTCCATAAAGATGAAAACAGAAATTAAATGCTAGAAGATGTTTCACTAAGAACATTTTTCATGAATGTTTCAAAACAGCATAGATCTTTCTGACTTTTCTTCGTTGTTCCTTACATGCTCGATAGTCTGACCAAAAAATTCTACCCTAAATGTCTCACAATTTAATAGTGTCTTGCTTATAACTGCTACTTTAACAAAAAAGAAAGGCAACAAGAGCCATATGTAACCTTTGGACTCCAAAAGGAGAAAGATGAGAATGCCATTGGCAGATAGGTGCTACAGAAATACAGTGCATTCTTTCTCTTGCATCCTACCTTGAACATTTCTTGATAGTTAACAAGAAAGTTGACCACCACATCATTATTTAGCATCTGGAGAGCACAGTTACAATCTTCAACATGTGCCTTTTCAGTTAAGAAATGTTACAAATTTAAGCTTTATCTATTTTGGAACCAAAAATTTATTGAACAAGCTAGCACATTGACGCGTAACCTTTTGCAAGAAATAGAGAGTTAAATATTCAGCAATTAAAGTCAAAAGGACTGACTTGATTTCAGTACGTAAAGTTAAACTTTCTGAAATACTAAAAAGCAACTCACTTGTAATCATTTTTTTCTTCTTCAGAAGCTATAATCCCTTCCGTCACTGTCTTCAGCTCTGCCTGGGCTTTTCTACTGTTCTGTTCTTGGCGAACTGTTTCTGCTATTTGCTCAGTTAGCTGCTCTTGAGTAGCTTTCAAGCTGGATTCCATTAGAAGAAGTTTTTCATCTTGACTGGCAAGTTCTTGGGCTGAAAGATAAAACAAGAACGTTGCCTTTTAAAAAACCCAGTTAATGTGGCTTTTTTTCTTTTGTTTTTGGTTTAAATTTTATGCAATACAACTTTGAGGAAGATTTAAACAGATCCTTCTTGTCAAAATACAAGCTCACGCATTCAATTTTCAGATTCTTTTATTTAAAGTGCAAGTAAACAAAGGTACGTATGAAGGAACACAAGATCCGAGTCAGTAATCTCAAGTTTATGAAACACTGGAATTCAAAAATTAGATGTCTTAATCAGACAACAATTTGCTGAGTTTATTTGTGAGAATTCTGCTGCTACATAAGTATATTATAAAAGAATAATGTTAATATATAGTACTCTTGTTCTTTCTTTCGCATAGGCCTCAGGTATATGTGTGTGTGTATATATATATATATATATATATTCACATAGACAAAGACTGACACGTTATAAATTATGCCAAAATGATGGCTCTACACTGATTTATTTTCATGTATAATATTTATGAAATTTAAGCACTTTTTCAAGGTCATCCAATAGATGGCACTCTTTCATTAAACCAAAGCAGACTTAGGCAGTATGCTTCAAGCTCTCAAAAAATAAGTGATTTAAGACAAAGACATTTTTCCTTTGTTCTTTGTTGACCGTATTCCTGGAGATAGATATCTGTACATTTTGTTCGAATATTTCTCTTTTATAAAAGTGTTTATCTGGTTTTTTTAATTACCTCAAGTATGTACGATCAAATGTAAATATTATCAGGCTTTGAATTTTATTTTTCAATCATATGCTTGTATATATATTTATACACATTATGTTATGTTGTGCATTTTTGGAGGCATTTTAAAATCTAACTTGATGTATAATTCATTGCATTAAAGATAATGAAATTTTATGAAAATCAGTAATTTCAATTTTGCAGTCCAAAATGAAGAAGATAAAGAAGAAATACTTTTAGGATCCCCAAATCAATATAAATAGAGAGGAGAAGGCTATATTTTTATAAAAAGAGCATCTTCCCTTTTAATGATTCTCATTTTATGTCCAAAAAATGGTGTTTATATTAAGCTTCAATAAAGTTGGAAACCAAGGTATTACAGTCTTACATCAGAGGTATCCTTTACAGGCAACCTCATAAAGAAGATAGTCTACATAAATATTCTGCATTTATCACTCATCTTTGAAGTTGAATGATGTCTCCCTTATAAATTAGATCTAAGAATCTCTGATTCTCAGTTTCTCATTTATAGATTTTTGGGCAACTGAGTGCTTATATTTCATAAATATTTGCATGCAGGTTTGTTTTGTTTTCTTGCAAGTGTTCAAAATAACCAGTTTTGCCCCAGAAGAAATTACAGCATCTACTATTTTTATAGCTTAAACCTGCTATATATTAACAGTTTAAATTTGTGCCTCTGGAAACCACAGAGCTAATGCAAACAGCTAAATATTTAACAAGGAAAAATGCATCACCCAGAGCTCATCTTTATTAAATTCCAAATACATCGAAATCTCTCTGAACAAATGAGTTAAATGTTTAATAATTTGAATACATGTTAAAGAGTGAGGGAAAAATCCAATAAAGAACTTACAACAAGTTTGCTTTCAAAATTAAAAAAAAAAAATCGTTCAAGCTTGAAAAATGTGTAAAGGCAATATAGCCTTTCCTGCTCTTGACCAATAGGAAAATGTAATCAAATTAAAACAATGTTTTTATAGTGATATGTTTCTAGCATTGTTAATGTGGTTGCAAAAATAGTTTAAGTGTAATATTTCATTTTATATGCTTTTTCACCTTTCGCAATATATATTTCTTATGAAAAAAGAAAACTATACCAAAACTTTTTAAATGGGTTCTGAGAAAAAATTTCAGACACTGCAATTGAGAAGTTAATGTTCTGTAAGTTAAAATGACTCTGAGCGATAAGGCCACATACAGGTGATTATGGATATAAGAATGTTTCAGGAAGTTTCTTTTTGGAAGAAGCTACTTGTACCAATAGACGGACTTCGAGACTACTTGAGTCCACTTGTGGCACGTACACAAAAAAAAGACCTTTTATCAACAATGGATGACGTGAATTTTCTATGAAGTTTGCCATTTCGAAAGGACTAGGAGATTTATGCCTCATAGTTCTCCTCTGAGTCTACTCTAATTCATTATGTGCTGGTTAAAAAGGGGTAAATTATTTTAAGTTTACCTATGCCTTGGACTTGAGCCTGAGTTGATCCCAAGCCAGAGGCGTTCGCAGCTGCATGCTTTATTTACAATCCCTTTGTCAGACTTACAACCGCCCCAGGCTATAACATAGTGTACCTAATGTTCAAACTGGCAGGTAATCTTATGTCAAACATACTTCTTTGATTTAAAGTGATCAATAGATTCTTGTAAAGAGGTAATTTCTCTGATGTTTCCACCTTGCCTTTTTTACAGGTGATTCACACAAAAGCCTGCTTATATGATGTACGAACAATAAACAGAAAGCTATAATCATGTTTTTTCAGATGTTTCCGGTGCACAACGATTTTGGATCGATACACTGTGTAATACAATTATCTGCAATGATCTGGTTGTATTGAAAAAGAATTTGCAGGAGACCTCTAGGGGGTTTTATCCAGAAACACGTATCTGGCAACGTTGTGAATAGTGGAAGGAAAAATTAAGGGCTTGACAAACGTTGTCTATTGTGTACCCAATGACTTCATTAATATTTTATTTCATAAAAATATTACACCACAAAGTTTAGTTAAACAATAGCGCAAAAGTAATAATAATAATAGTAATACTTAGGGCTTCATACTATTCATTTATATGGGAAAACAAATGTTAACAAATATATGGACTTTAACGGCAGAGTCAATGTTGTGTGTATATTATGTACCACAGATTATAAGCAATATTGATTATTTATGCTAGGAAATAAATCCTCTTACTTCTATCTTATCTAAGTTCTGTAAATACTAGTGTCTGGGAAATACTTTGATGTCTCTTCAACTAGTTTTTTTTCACTGGAATAGTAGAATTCTAGACTGAGTATCAATTTGAACTGTTTAAGAGCTCTGTACAATAAGCCCTTTATTTCAAGCTTCTTTCTTTTCTTCCAAATGGAGATTTGCAACATCAGGGAAACAGCTAAGATACACAGTCTGTATGCAAAAGACATTACACATTTTCTGCAAAGATCTCTGTGCGTGGAAACAACTCAGTTTTGTTTTTATGGTTCTCCCCGAGATGCTGACTCTTCACAGCGTCTGCCTCAAAGCCTGAAAAGATCCACATTTCCTATTTTGGGCCTCTAATCATATATCCGTAATGTGAAATTCACTTTTGTCAGGCTAGCACAGATTCACATTCTGGAGGTGCTCACAATTTGGGGTGCGCTGGTCCCTCTCACAAAGTCCTCCTCTCTGCAGCTTCTGCAGGTCCCTGTCTGGCTGCTGCAAACCTGCTCTGACGATGAAGCTTGCCCTGTTCGAGGTTTTCCTCCCTGGACAGCCGGGTACTGGCTTTCAGTCTCTTGACCACACTGTCTGTGGAGGCGATCCACCGTCAGTTTGACTTTGATGGCTTTGTGTGCCTGCAGGAGACCAGCTTCTGACTTTCTCAGAAAGTCCTGTCTTTTGCGTATTGCCTGTGAAGACAAAAAGCATTCCAATAGTGCCTTTTATGATGTACTTTTTATATTGCATCCTGCTATTTTGAGCTACAGAATACTGGAGATTACATAGCCCCTCATTAGCAACTGGGAACAGTATCCACATCTCTTCTAGGATCAAAACCTTAAAGGGACTTTCTTAAAAAAAAAAAAAAAAAGTCACTTGGAAGGAAGATTCCCCGTGAGCCTAAGTGCAGAGTTAATCAATATATAAAGGTTCAAAGGTGAAAGAAAATATTTCCCATAACTCTTAGGGAATTAAAAAGGGGACTAGTTGGATCAAAATGAATTCTTTCTCTTTAAAATATAACGAAGAATTTAATGAATACGAAAAGTGTATTTAATCTCTTTGAATTAACGCCCATATAGCTCTTTCATTTAGCTTTAAAACAAACTATACTAATGTGATACCCAGGGAAATCCCTTCACCATAAAGGTAATTCTGATACCCTCCTAATGACTTCTCCACATCACTTAAACTCATTAGCTTTATAAGAATACAATGTTTGTTACTTTCTTTTTAGATTTTATTATCTTTCTAACACACCATATCTCAGCTTTAAATTTGACTGAGGAAAGACATTAAATATAATCGAAGACTAAAATGATAAACTAATGATCTTCCTTAAAAGAAAATTCTCTAAACTTTCCTGGTGCTGTTTTCATACCCATCAATATGGTATTCCTGGCTGGGTTTTTTTATTGGCTCCCTGCCACACCTTGACTCTCTATCATGCTCCATCATGCTTCTTTTAATCTGAATATTTAGTGTTCTTTCATGTCTTAATTACAGCAAATTGCGGCACAGTTGGCACCATTTCTTGAAATTAATCCCAGAGTACTTTGTTTCTGTCAAGTAGTCAAAGCCTTGGAGAATAATAGTAAATGTTATTGCAGATCTAAATTTAAATGACTGTCTATGTATTTAACTTAAGCCTTTAATTATTCGTGCTGAACTGTTTTGGGTTCAAATGTTAAACATTATTCATTGAGAGTGTGGAATTACTTTAGACAGCTTAAAACCTGCAGATATGTTTGGCAATAATTTTAACGCAACAATTATTTATATTAACATATTTTTTCAGGTGTACAAAACCTAGTAAATGGCATGTGATATCTTCTTATGGATACGTATTTCAAAGTTCCATTACTTCTGTCATTATTAATAAAAAGTTTGGGTTTAGGTCCATCCAATTCTAAATGGCTTTTCCCTAACCAATTGTTAAATTGTCAGCCAGACTCAGGAATGACTTGGTTTTACTATTGCTGATAGACTTTAAACAATTCAAGATAATGAAG